TGAGGGAGGTGGGCTAGTGGTTCTTTGCAGGGTAGCGCCAAGCAACCTCCGCACTAGCCTTTTATTGAGACCAGTACCACACAGGTGAGGCGAGTAATTAACAAATGACTCTGTGCTGATGTGGACAAAGGGCCTGAGGGTCCACCCCCCAGCTGTAGATCATCTTGCTCAGAGGTCATCTGGCTCTTGGCGTCCCCTACAGTCTTGCACTCTGGAATGCCAACAGTGGAAGGGTCACTTGAGTTTAAGAGTTGAGATCAGTCCCCAGATAGCAACAGCGAGACCATCTGTACTAAAAAATAAAAAATTTAGGGTGGCACTCGTGGGTCAGTGGGTAGGGCACTAGCCATATACCCTGAGGCTGGCGGGTTCGAACCCGGTCTGGACCAGCTAAAATAAACAATGACAACTGCAATTAAAAAAAAATAGCTGGGTGTTGTGGCAGGCGCCTGTAGTCCCAGCTACTTGGGAGACTAAGGCAAGAGAATCTCTTAAGCCCGATAGTTTGAGGTTGCTGTGAGCTATGATAGTTTGAGGTTGCTGTGAGCTATGATGTCACGGCACTCTACCGAGGGCGACATAATGAGATGCTATCTCAAAAACAAAGATTAAATAAATAAAATTAAATTAAAAATTTAGTGAGGCATCATAGCCGGAGCCTGTAGTCCCGGCTACTTGGGAGGCTGAGGTAGGAGGGTGGATTTGAGGGTGCTGTGAGCTAGGCTGACACCATGGCACTTTAGCCTTGGCAACAGAGTGAGACTCTCTCTGAAACAAAACAATTTTAGTATGTGTGTTGCCGAAGTGAACACTCTAAAACAAAACAAAAGTACTAGTAGAAAAGGTGGACCATTCATGAAATGTAATTGGCTTGTGGAGGAGAACGAGATGTGTGTACTGGATTTAGGGCACCACCTGTCTAGATTTTCTTTTGAGACAGAGTCTAGCTGTGTTGCCCAGTCTGGTGTCAAATTTATGCCCTCACGGTCCTCTCAACTCAGCCTCCCAAGTTGCTGGGTTTATAGGCATGAGCCACTGTACTTTAGACTTTTGACTAAAAAGACAGTGTGTCATAGATAATTCTGTTCTGAATGAAACAGGAAAGAATTAGGATTTAGGCAAGGGAGAACTCAATGCAATCTCAGTTCCATTCAGTCACTGTTTATTTACTAGAAGCCTGTTGTGTGCCGGGGGGAACT